GGGAATAATAAAATTGGTTGAATGCCTACTATGTGCCGCGCAATTGCCTGGGTAATTTCTCTTGCATTATTGAACCCTACTAAGGTGCCCTCAGCGTAAATCTAGTTATTCCCGTTTTACAGTTGATGGAGCCGAACCTCCCAGACTTTCAGGCACGAAACCAGGCTCCCGCAGTTAGGAAGTGGTGGAGGCTTTGGAACCGAGGAGGCGTGGCTTGGAGCTTACTCTGTCCTCCCTGCGCCAGCCCCGCCCCCTTCTAGATCACGGAGGGCGTGACCGGCCCCGGAGGTTGCATCGGTGTCCTAGGCCCACACATTTGGAACTGAGTCCCCTGGCCTCATGCAGCACACCCCTCTCGAGTCCCCATGCAGCATCCTCCTCCGTCATGAGCTCTTGTCCCCTACCCAGACCCAACCCCTGTCTGAAGGGGTGGGGAGCATGTGCCAGTCCCCCCCTCCCCCCCGCCCCGCGGGTTTGCAGCGACCTCAAAAGACCCTCCCCATATGTGAAAACTCTTCAAGCCCATGGCGTGGCTGATGGCTCCATTCACCTAAAGAACCCTTTGCTGAAGCTGTTGTGAACAGTTAGGATTCAACACACTGAAGCATTCATATTCAATTCTTTCAACTATTTTTTGGTGTGTTTTCTATTTTGTCTAATTAAAAAAGCATTTTTTAGATTTTTAAATCAGTTTATCTAAGAGTACTTCCACCTTAGTTTCTTGAAAGCCTTGAAATGGCAAAATAAATAAAAAGATTGCATACATTTTCAAAAAATGGGATGAAATCATTCCAACGGGAAATGAATAAATGTAATAGCGTAAATCTCAGGCAACTGCATCTATCATTTTGGTAAATTGGTCATTTTGGAGCAATTAGCCTGGATCCTAGTCTTCCCTCCCGGCTTCCCAGGATTGCCCTGGCGTGAACCAATAAAAGGTGTGGCCGGTGCCAAGCATCAGCCACGCAGCAGAGGCACCTCTGTGGGCCTCAGTTTCCCCATCCGTCAGAGAGGGGATGAAGGCATTCCCTCAAGTCTTTCCCCCTCAGCATCTTGGCTTCTAGAATGGCTGTTTGGGTGACATTTCCTTTCCCCCATGGGACTGTGGTTCCCCACAGAAATCAGGGACCATGTCGCATTGGAAACTCTTATTCCAATGCTCAGTAAATAGTTGTTGAATTACTTAACTTCAAGGAGAGCAATTACCCATCCTCCTTTGGTCCCCATGCCGTCCTCAGACTCCCTGGTAGCAAAGACTTGCTTCATGTCTACTCTGCCCCTGACTCTTAGATGGTTTCCTCTTTTAGGGGGTGGCTAACGCTCCCCCCCCACTACCTCCCACCCAGGCTCAGCAGCTTGCTCTCCCCAAGACAAGATGCTTCTTTGATACCTAACAGTTATTTAACTCCTACTATACACCAGACAGATTTGCATAAATGATTTCATTTCATTTTCACAGCAACCCTGAGCAGCAGATACAAGCGCCCAGTGTGATTGGGAGGTCTGGGGGAGGGAAGCACTGAGGTTCAGAGAGATTGAGAATTTACCCAAAATAACGTACTATGAAGAAGCAGATCTAGGATGTTTTGAAAAAGGGAACATAAAACAAGCACAGGAAATACTTGGTCAGTAATTACATGGACTCGATTCCAAATGCAAGAGTTGGGAGAGGAGAAAGGACCACCAGCTGCAGCAGGAAGAGCAGGTCTGGAAGAAGAGGGGAGGAAGAGGGGCTTGTACAAGGCTGCCACCTCGATGACTATTATGCAATATACAGATTGCGTATCATAGAAACGTACACTTCAAACCTATATGATCTTACCCAGCCGGCATGGCTCAGTGGTTGAGTTTCAACCTATGAACCAAGAGGTCACAGTTCCAATCCTGGTATTGGCTCGATCCCCAGTCAGGGGTGTGCAGGGGGCAGCCAATCAATGATTCTCTTTAATCATTGATGTTTCTATCTCTCTCTCTCCTTCTCCCTTCCTCTCTGAAATCAATAAAAAAATTTTTTTAAAGAAACCTATATGATCTTATTAACCAATGTCGCCCCAATAAATGTAATTAAAAATAAATAAAATCACTTGCCAATTAGGAGAGAGAGAAAAGAAAGAAAGACCTCGGAAAAGAGAAAGAGATTTCCCAAGCATATGAACATCTTACTCATTCATGTAATGCTTACAGCAACCCTATGAGGCAGGTCCGGTCATAATGACCTAATGCAGAAGATACTGAGGCACAGAGAAATTCAAGACTGGCCCCAGGTCGCCTAGCGCAAAGCGATGAGCCAGGATACGGAGCCACAGAGGCCGCTGAGGACGAGGGCAGTGTGGCTAGCTCACACTTTCTACTCTGAGAATTGCCCCTCCTGGTTCGGAGCCTCCTTGCACTCGTATCATACACCTTCCTACCGAGGCTAGTGCCATAGTTTCCAAAGATCCCATGAGACCTAGGAGGTTAGAATGGTGTGGGAGGGGCCACACAGGTCACACTCTGGTAGCAGCAAGAGTTGCCCCCTGATATCTCGGCAGGAAGGGAGGAGACAGAAAAAGTATTTTATATTTTAAAATATACTTTATTGATTTTTTTTTACAGAGAGGAAGGGAGAGGGATAGAGAGTTAGAAACATCAATGAGAGAGAAACATCGATCAGCTGCCTCCTGCACACCCCCTCCTGGGGATGTGCCCGCAACCAAGGTACGTGCCCTTGACCGGAATGGAACCTGGGACCCTTCAGTCCGCAGGCCCATGCTCTATCCACTGAGCCAAACCGGTTAGGGCAGAAAAAGCTGAAAGGAGAACTGAAAGAGACAATCGTGTGGTAGTAGTTTGGGATAAAGAACACAGGGCTTCACTGCACAGCAGCCCGGAATAATCACTGGTGTGAATACTGAGTCCCTGAGTCACGGGGAAACCATGAAGATATGTTCCAGTCGGGGAAAGGTGCAGCCACTCTGGTGAAAATGAAAAGCAGGAGGTGATTAGAGCAGCAGCGCCTTAGCTCTCGGGAAGCTCAGCCTCCAGAAGTCATTCCGCCGAGTTCTAGTTAAGTGAGCTGCCTGTTTAGTGCCAGGTCCCTGTCAGGCTCTGGGACAACAGCCTGGCCCTCAGGGAGTTGACAGTCCAGTGCGGGATCCTGTGAAGTGTCAGAGCAGACACGAATAGTCCACAGGGAGAACGCGTAACAGGGCAGCCCGCCTGATCTGGGGGGGGTGGGGTGGGGGGTGGGGGAAGACACTGGCCCACTTCCTTGAGGAAGTGATACTTAAACGGAGCCCTAAAGGATGAAAAGAAATCCAAACAGACTCTTCTATAATCTCACGCGCCTCCTGGGGAAAGCCTGTATCTGGGACTCCGCCTACCCCCAAGACTTCTGGTCTGCAGATGTTCCCAGCACCATGTTCCTGCCACCTGGGAGGAGATGGTGGCAACGCCCGAGGTCCCCCCTCCTGTGCTGCCTGCACCCTCCCTGCTGGTCTCTTGAGGACCAAAGGCTGCCTCGTAGACCGATCCAATCTGTCCACCCCCCTGCCTCCACCTAACCCTGGTGAGATCTCAGGATATCTTCAAGGTCTGGAGCGAGGGGAGTGTTCTTGGCCATGACCTGGTCAGCGAGGAAGCGGAGGGATGTCCAAAAGGACCTTTAAGGCTCCCTCTGCTCCCACGACCTGAGAGCCCACACTTCCTGTCCATATCAAGTGGGAGCTGCGTGGTCTGGGGCCAGGGAAACGGGCTTGGGAGTTTTATTAGACATGAAGTATTTTTTTTTTAAGGAGCAGAAATATAAAGCAAGCTGCCAGCAGCCCCTTCCTCTAGGGAATCTGGTGCTAAATTGTTCCATCCATGAGCGAAGATGCCTCGGCGGCAGGAATCTGATTCCCCTTTCCCCTCGTTCCAGAGCTGTTCCCACTGGCTGCATGGGGGGCAGGGAGTGGGGAGGGCTGGTGACTGGAAATCAAACCCTCGTGGAGCTGGGCTGCTGGGTGATGACAGCCACCACTTTCTCATCATTGATAACAGGCGACCCTTTCTCACATCTTGGCGCCACACTCTTGCCGATTGGCTGGTCTTTGCTCTGGCCCTGAGCTGTAGCCACCTCTATCTGGCTGGAGAGATGGAGACTCAGAGAGGGAGAGCAGGGCAGGCCAGAGCTCCCAATGCAGAATCAGGATTTGAACCCCAGACGCCACCCCTCGGCCTTCTGCTCTTGGCTACAGTACCTCCTGCCGGATATATAATATGCGGAATGGTTTTAGAATGGAGGACCTGGAGTAGGGAGGGCCCTGCTGGCCTTTGTTAGAAAAAGGCTCCCCTCCGGGCAGCTTAGTCAGTGGCATTTGGACTAAATTTCAGCTGTCAGTTGCCCCCTTGGCTGGAAGCCCCGTGCGAGCTGCAACCTGAAGGCCCTCCGCTGGGCCTCACGCCTCCTTCCCCATGTGGTGTCTCCTTGAGGTTCCAAGAGCTGCTGTGACCCCGAAATGAACTGTGCAGAGGGTCAGCCTGGGAGGCTCTGACCTCACACCCCCAGCAGCCTGCAGGGGTGCACTGCCCCCCACTGCCTTTCTTCCGGCCAGCTTTGATGTGCCTAATGCCTCCCCGGTGAGCTCATCCGGGCCCAGGTGGTTCCAATAGGAGGCTTTGGGGAGGGGTGTTTGATTCCTCGGAAGATACCCCCTCTCCTTTCTCCTGCCACTCTGACCTTCTGATCTCCCCCGACCCAGGTGTCCTTCGGAAGTGCCCAGGAGGCGTGCCTCACGGGCCTGTACACCCACAGCGGCGAGTGCTGCAAAGCCTGCTACCTAGGAGAGGGTGTGGCCCAGCCTTGTGGAGCCAACCAGACCGTGTGTGAGCCCTGCCTGGACAGTGAGTAAAGGGTGGCAGGTGGGGAGAGGGGAGAGGAATGGAAGGGAGGGGCCGGGGCTGGGGAAGAGAGGCCTTACAAGTCCTCTGCCTCCTGGCGGGGTCTCCTGCCCACAGCTGCATGGGCACCGGACATGGGTCTGATGCAGGATAGGAGGCAGAAAGGGGAAGCTGAGAATGGATGAGAGAGGTATGCAGAGGAAGGCGGGGACCTGATGGGGGACCCCCAGGGGGAGCCCCTTCCCAGCCCCCAAGCAGAGAAGCCAGCTAGAAGAGTGTGGCCAGGTGGGGGGAGTAGCTGATACTAAGACGAGCTAAAAATATCACCCGCACTGCAAAATCAATGGCTGCCACTTACCCTGGTGTTTTGGGGGGAGGGGAGGAGGATCAAATACTGGCTGCCCTGGAGACTGACCTTGGGGATCCTGGGAGGGTGTGGCTACCCCTCCTCCCAGGCCAGCTGTTCTCCAGCTCTGACTAAGGACGAAGAGCTCTCCCCAGGCAGCAGGGGTGGGGGTGGAGCACTACAGGGAGGTCCTTCTTGTGGGGAGAGGGGCACTGTGGCCATTCCTACCTGAGATTTCCTTGGGGAGGGGAGAGAATCCTGTCTTCCTGCTGGGTGAGGGAGGCCGCGGGGTGGTGCGTCTGGGGTCTGGAATCTGTGTGCTGTGGAGTCAGGGGTCTCAGCTCTGCTGGCTGCCCCCAGCCTCAGTCGCTGCCTTCGGGCTATGGGCTCAGTTGCTCTGTTGCTGACCCTGCCCAGAAAGCTTTCCTCACTGTCAGATCAGGTTTGCCTTCTCCCAGCCACTCACGGCCCATCCGAGGGCCTGTGGTAACCTTATCCAGCTATTCTATAATCAGGCTGGGAACCAGGTACAGCAACTGGGGACTGAACCCACCTGCCAGCCTAGTCTTACCTCTGGATGCCTCCCCACCACCTCTACCAACACCTGCGTGCCCAGCCAGCCTGGCTCAGTGGGTGAGCGTAGATCTATGAACCAGGAGGTCACTGTTCGATTCCCGGTCAGGGCACATGCCTGGGTTGTGGGCTCGCTCTCCAGTGTGGGGCGTGCAGGAGGCAGCCAGTCAATGATTCTTATCATTGATGTTGCTATCTCTCCCTCTCCCTTCCTTTCTGAAATCAATAAGAATATATTTAAAAACAAAACAAAGCAAGAAAAACCCTGCACACTTCTCCATCCTTCAGACAACCACAACTCCTTGGTGTTCCCCAACATACTCTTCTCCGCTCTCTGTGCTTATGAAGCCTACAACTCCATCCCCCAGCAGAGGGATGCTGGGACTGGGTGGGGAGGCTGGACATCCTGTAATGTTTTTGTCATCTGGCCACCTGCCCTGGCCCTAGCCTAACAGGGTTTCCATCCCAGGGACGGGTTGGCCAACTACTGCCTACCCCGGAAGCTCCCACGATTGCCTCTCTCACTTCCTAGACTCCAGCCCAGGGCCTCTCCTCCCTGGACCCGAAGTCTCCCCGGATGGGCCCCCACTCATCTTCCGTGAAAGCAAAGGGTGGGGTAGAGGAGCCTGGGGGAGGGAGGTTCTTGGGATGGGGAGGGGAGCAAGCTCAGAGGTGGTGGCAGGAATCCTCACTCCCATTTCCTCCTGCCCCCATCCTCTCTCCTCCTCCCCTCATTCCCCAGCAGCTGCGTTAACAGGCTGCCTTTACAAGCCCACTTTATGGAATAGAGACCCCAGTGGACTTTCTATCCTCGAAACGTTTCCACAAGGAAACCCATTAAGCTCCTGCCTTCATTCTCTGCCAAAAAAGACCACATTTTCCCCACCCCTTAAAACCCTTTCCCAGGAGTTTTCTGCAAATTTTCTGTATTTTCCCATGAGCAAGGCCCTCCCTTCCCCTTCAGGGTGACTCTACCCCGCCCCCCTCGGCCCCCCACCACATGCCAACCAGATAGGAGCCTCTTGTTTATTTAAACTGGAAGTAAGTCCTGCCTCGGCTGATGGTGTTGGAAGTCCTTTCTGCTGTCTGACTGAAGTTCACCATACTTATCACTGCCCACCCCAGGAGCCCGACCTTTATAGATCCCTCCTGTGTGTCAAGCGCTTTACAATGGAATTCCACTTATTCCTCACCACAACCCTGTGAGTGGAGATATTTTATTCCCTATTTTACGGAGAAAGAAAAAAGCTTAGAGAGGTTACATAAAACACCCGGAGTCACACAGCGAATAAGTGACGGAAGCAGTTTTGAATCCAGATCTGCCTGATTCCTAGGAAGAGAAATACAGGGCTCCCTCTGCCAGAACGGACTCTGTTCTCTTCTCCCCCCAATTTATTCCCCTTTCACCTCTGTCTGGCTTTCTTCTTTGCTTCTTTGCTCCCCACCCCCACCCCCCACCCACCAAGTGCTCCATGTTGTCTCTTGGGGCTTTAGAGAGGCTGTGATCAGACCCCACAACAGGCCTTGATTTCCCTTCAGTGGCGTCTGATACTTTCTCCACTTCTGCTTCCACATTCCGAGCAGACCTTCCCTGGTTCTCAGGTCGCTAAACCCCTTCTCTTCCTCCCCTGGGAGCAAGGATGCATCCTCCTGGATTCAGATTGGCACGAGTTCTCCAGCCTGGGCCTCCTCTTCTCTGCACCAGAAGGAGAGGACCTGGCACCCTGGCACCCCTCCCCCCATTATTGAGAGAGCTGCCTTGGGAGTGAGCTTGGAAATCTCCCCTCTGTGCCCTTTGAAAGGGCAGAGGACAATATATGCAAGTCCTTCTTTCTTTCCAGCTCCAATCCCTCCTGCTGTACCTGAACTTGCTTGCCAGGATTCCCATCCTACCCTCCAGCCTTTCAGCAGCGTGGGGGAGCGCCATGGGTGGGAACTTAAGCTGTCCAACCCTAGTTACTCCCATTGGGGCCACACCTGAGCTCCCCTCCCCCCACCTGTGGAAGGGCAGCGGAGGCAGGAGGCTCCATGCCTGGGCCGGGTTCTCAATCCAGCTCTGGCCTGCGGGGAGGGCTGGGTGGGAACCACCTGTAGATTATTCCTTAATCTTGCTGGGAACTCTCTAAGAGAATTTACCGAGTAATTTACCTGCCCCAGCCGGGTTACCCCGCCAAGCCTCCGGGCCCTGGCTTCCCCGCCTGGAGCAGGGGCTCCTGATCCCCTTCCTCCTTCCCAGTGGGTTGTCACAAGCTTTCCCAGACTTGGGAGCAGGGCCCCTAGGGGAGAGAGAGGGTGGGAATCCATGAGGGGGCGAGGCTGAACCAGGGAGTCAGCGCCCTGGCAGAGGTGGGGGAGGGATGGGGAGGGAGGGCCTGCAGCCCTTGCGTTCCAGCTGCCCAACAGGCCGGCGACTACGATCTGGGCCCACGAGAGCTCCCCCACATCCCTTCGCCCGCAGGTGTGACGTTCTCCGACGTGGTGAGCGCCACGGAGCCCTGCAAGCCGTGCACCGAGTGCGTGGGGCTGCAGAGCATGTCGGCGCCCTGCGTGGAGGCCGACGACGCCGTGTTCGCTGCGCCTACGGCTACTACCAGAACGAGACCACGGGCCGCTGCGAGGCGTGCCGCGTGTGCGAGGCGGGCTCGGGCCTCGTGTACTCCTGCCAGGACAAGCAGAACACCGTGTGCGAGGAGTGCCCCGACGGCACGTACTCCGACGAGGCCAACCACGTGGACCCGTGCCTGCCGTGCACCGTGTGCGAGGACACCGAGCGCCAGCTGCGCGAGTGCACGCGCTGGGCCGACGCCGAGTGCGAGGGTGAGCGCGCCGCGGGCCCCGGTCCCGGCTACAGACCGGCCGCAGGCTGGGGAAGGGCGCCCTGGGGGCCGGGGAGGGCCAGGCCTGGCTTGAGCAGGGGCCACCTTCCCTGAGGCCTGATGGAGGGGTGGCTCCCCATCCTCCTCACCAAAGGCCCCCTCTCCCTCTTCCCTCCTTTGAGCTAAGCGTTTGGAAAGCCAGCCTCCTCCTCCCAGGCCACAGCTGCCACATCTGGCTGACCGCTGGCACTGGGCAGGTGGCAGGTAAGCAGCTGGGGAGTGGCCACGGTGACCACAGCTCAGAGCGGCTTCCTGAACCGGAAAAGGGGCTCGAGGACCAGGAGCTGGGCCCCTTCCCAGGGAGGCCTGGTCTCGGTCCATGGTGGTTGTGGCTCTGGGACCTAAGACGGAATCCACCCTGTCACTTGCTGCCTGAGGGATAGTCGTTGGAGAGGTCACTCCCGTCTGGGACCCCAGTGTCCTCACTGGGCAGTGCTGTGGGTTAGAGAAGGCGGTCTGCTTCAACCTGTGGCATCTGGGAGGGGGCGTGTCTACAGTCATTTTTTGTTTAGTCGGGGATGAAGTTGGACCCGGGGACACTAAGGAAGCCGTGGGGGT